AACAGGGGTGAGTAGGTGATTCCATGGACCACCAGCGAACACTTTCTTATGATATTATTTATTCTTACCCCAACAATTGATGCCATTATTTCAGCTAAATGACATTTTATAATTTTGGGAGCATTCGAAAGGCAATAAGATGTCATTCAAAATACCCCTTTCGTCATGTCAGTTTTGGCTGTAGCAATTATTGTGAACAGCCCTAATTTTCTGAGTTTCCATCAGATTATCTAGTTGTCTTTCGCTTTTTCGCAATCACTTGAACATTCAGTTTTTAAAAATTTTTTTAATAAATACCCTGCCTGCTACATTATGGTTTCTCTTTCATCTATACTTGGGTCAACACAAATGGGAGAAGGTCACCCGTTTACTACCCCTCCGTAGCCTTCTCATGTCTGTATTACTTCTAAGCGCTACAATGATCAATCGAACCCAGTACACTTACAAAAATCCATGAAACGGACACACACATCCGTGTTTATGTCGTGATTTCAGCTATTCACAGTTTTCCTTGTTATAGATTTGAGCGAAATTTGAAAGAGCAAAATGGTTTTAATGGGATACTGTTGCAATTTCCCGACGCATTCAGAGTTCCGTAATTCTGTACGTTTACATGATTAATAGATGATGATTTAATAACGTTCTGCGCAACTGGGACCATAAAAAATTATCTTGTTGTTTTCGATAAATTATTTTGCGACCGTCTATACTACTTCCTGTTTTAATTTGTATGTTTATTATCTCTTTCGAATGTTTTACCTAGTTAACTGCCATACGTATTCTTGGTTCGCCGGTTGTATATTCTGTTAGCAGCCCAAGATACCATATTCGTTTTCCCCAAGGCGGTGGTTGAATTTCCATGCCGAGGACTAAGTTCTTGTGTGATATTCTCGATGAATCTTTTTATCATACTTCCTACAGAGATAGAAGAAGCGATGTACGTTTGCGCTCATGTGTCTTTTCTTTATACGTTGCCTTTTTTTACCCCTTCCATATGTATCGTTGCGAGCCTTTTCATCCAGCATTCAATATGGAGTTTAAAAAGTTGGGATCGGGAACAATTTACAATTATTGTTGAACTAGTTATGTTGAGGGTTACCAGTTGAATCTTTAGTCAGAGCCTGTACGAGTACAGAATATCGTTTGCGTGCGCTTATAGATAACCTCCCTGATACCATCAGGTCGACAAAAGCTAGCATATATCTAACCATTTCTGGCAAAAAACGGTTTCGTTAGTCATGTGCTAGCTTTTTCGACCAAATGTTATGAGGGCTCCCGCGTTAGTTCTTATGCCTTGCCGTTCTGTTTGAGTAATTCCCATGATACAATTCGAATTTGCTGTTACGTGCACATTTATTGCTTCCTAGGTTATCTGGTATTCATTTCATTCATTACCTTATTTTATAGGCATCTAGCCGAGAGCTAAGCAAAGTCCTCTTGCAGAGTACCACTCTTTACATTGGGAACCTTTCCTTTTACACCAGAGAAGAACAGATTTGGGAGCTTTTTAGCAGAGCAGGCGAAGTAAAGCGTGTCATAATGGGCCTTCACCGTTTCGACAAAACACCATGCGGATTCTGTTTCGTAGAGTATGAGGACCGCGAGGGCGCGGAGATGGCAATGCGTTATATCAATCGATGTCGAGTAGACGATCGAGTTATCCGGACTGACTGGGACGCAGGTTTTATTGAAGGTCGGCAGTATGGTCGCGGCAGAAGTGGAGGCCAGGTAAGACGAATAAATTCCCGTTTACCTTATATATACTTTTCATTAACTGCCTAAATGATGTTCTGTTGCATTTGCTTGTTGTTTGCATTGATGCGCACTCTTAACATGAATGAAAAAACCGTTAACGACCTTTGTTTTAGGTACGGGATGAATTCCGAAAAGACTATGACGTGGACAGGGGTGGATACGGCAAAATTGTGGAGAAAATGATGCGTGATTGAAGGTCTGTCATTTATGTTGTAATCTGTAAATAAATATTCACCGCTCCTGTTTTATAATCGACGCTTCTGAGTTTTTGGGCAAAGTGGTCTTTTAGCATAAATAGTTATGAAGGCGCTGGGTTTAACTAAGTTGGCAGTCAATGCGCTCACGTCACTTACTTTCCGTTTTTGCCGTCGTAATTCATGACGACTTCTGCGAGTACTTCACTGATTAAACCATGTTTAACTGATTTTGGTTTACTCTCCTGTCGCGATTCCGTCTCTTCTTAACTGCTGCGTTGGTGAGTTTTCAAGTTTTCATTGCGGCTTATTTTTCTGTCAACACTGGCTTGCAATACCTAGGTTTACTACAGGTAAACATGTACTTAGTACAAATGTGCATATCTTCCCAGACTTAGCTTATCTCTATTTTTACTTCTCCATTCCCGACTGTCCCGGAAGGCCTAGGAAATACTGCTTGCTGTACCAGGATTGGTGGTCTTGGTCGGGCAATCAATTTTCGGTTTCGAACTGTCTTGACTCACTAAGATCGAGTGTATAGCGGCCGAAAAAGATAAAATAAATTGCATACATGTTCAACCCACGGCTGAATTTCTAACTGTTATTAACTATTACTTTAAATCCGACATATCTTTTAACACTTTGACTGCGACGTGCGCCATATGTGGTACATGCAATGATGTCCCAAACTGCGACGTGCGCCATATATGGTACACGTCTAGGCCTAAAGTAACGCAGGTTTGAAAACGCCGCCCCAGGGGCATACAGGCTATTTTGAAAGTCGCAGTCAAAGTGTTAAGGAGAAGTGGCGAGTATGTAAGGCGATCATCTATTACTTGGAGACACAAGTCGTCCGCTTACGAGATACACAACGTTCTAGAATATACGACCGACGGTGCTTGCATTTCATTTTCTAAACTATTCCTGCGATGGACGCATATCCAGTCGGCCTGCAATTAAACCTATTAATTCAGTTTCAGGGCTGGAC